GGTGCTCTATGGCATCCATGATTTTTGTTGTGTCTCCCCCCCCCCATATTTGATTTTGATGTCAATATGACTCCTACTTGTAGAGGGCGCCACCTACATATTTTTTAACTGGTTTGAATAATAATAACTTTTTGTTCGTACCTGTAAAAAACCAATGAGTAAAAAAATATACATTTACGAGGTTTTTTACGTAAGAAAGGTCTCTTGGTAAAAATCGCTACGAGTAATAGTTCTCCAAATATTTAGAGTCGAAATTATCAATACCTGTCATATTGACAGAAATTGAACATGTTAACTAAATAGTACCTATTAGCCTGAAATCATAAATTTGAAATATGTTTGTGCCAGAATTTCAACAGAAACTGTTTTATCAACATTTTTTCGCAGAAAAATTTATGATTAACTTAAAAAAATAAAAATTTCCCAAATTTATTATTTCAGTCAAATAACTATCTACTCAACGTGTTTATTGTTTGTGAATAATGACATGTATTGACTATTTTCATTCAAAATATCTTGAAAATGGTTGCTCGATTTCGGTTAGCGATTTTTACCAAGAGACACTTTTTACGTAAAAAATCGCGGAAATGTATATTTTTTAATTCCGTAGTTTTATACAGGTACGGACGAAAAGTTATGACTCTTCAAAACAGTTAAAACACATGTAGGTGGCGTCCCCTACAAATAAGAGTCATATTGATATCAAAATCAAATTTCTCATGTCAAAAAACTCCCAGACAGCAATTTTCATCCAAGTATTGATATTACTTCAGAAATTATTTGGAAGAAATGAAAATAAAAATGAATCTCCGAAACTAAACATTTTAGGACATACATTTATACGAACTTTTTTACTTATTTTTATCTGCAGAATATGCTGTCGAAGTTTTCGGAATACAGTTCGACCAATTCTGTATAGAAAATCCACACATACGGGATAATATTTTAATTCTCAGTCGAACCCATAGATAAAAGAAAATAATCTACTGTTAAGATAGATATGAAACTTAATAGTAAAATTTTGGGTCAAAGCGCTCCTCCGTGTTTTTAGTAGAGACTACGTTTTACCCAGCGCCTTCGCCTTTTCTGCTGTAAATGTTTTTTATGTTTATATTTGAATTCAAAGATTTTATTTTAAAGAACTTTAATAAAACATAAGAATATATATATATATATATATATATATATATATATATATATATATATATATATATATATATATATATATATTATACAGTTTATTTTTTATTTATTTTACAGAGTTTCATGTAAATGATCGTAAGTCGACTGACTGTCTAATGAATAGACCGAGATTTATAGATTTTAAAGCGAACAAAAAAAAAATCAAACAACGAATACATACCATATATTTTTCTTTTATCTAAGATACATACCTTATCGTCTTTTGGAAACACGTGCATTTTTGCAGTTTCGTTAGTTTCTTTGCAAGATGCAACACAACAAGAAAACACCATTTTTACAGTTAATAAATAATAAAACTATTTCTGACTATGATATTTAAAATTTAGATAGATAGAAAATTAAATATCAAACCGGTATTTGCAGACGCATCAGGACCAAATTCAATAAAAATCAAAATTTTTCCTGCGAAAATCGGGCTTATTTCACTGAAAAGGTATTTTTTGATTTATCAGCAATCATTGTCAAGTCGACAATATACAGGGTATTTTCTAATTAGTCTAAAAAAATTGTGGTGTGATTCCTCATATGTTCTTTAAACAATTTATATATAACTATTGGGTCTACCAGTACTTCCTTTCTGATACAGGGTGTTAAAAATTTGAAAAAATCGATATTTTGCTTAACATAAATGGTACACCACTGCTTTTTTAAAGAAAATATATTTTTTCTTGGCTGGCCATCCTTTTTCAACAAGATTGATCTTTTGAGTTTTTCTTGTTCATCAAACAGTTGTCGAGAAAAAAATAAATATACTTATTAAGAGCCCGCCTTAATCCGTTTTCTAACGATTTTTTATTTTTTAGATTAATTAGGAAACACCCTGTATATGCATATCACAGGCAACCAAATAACTAGTAACCTCTAAAATTGATTTTTCCTACCACTAGCGACATACCGTGTTTTTAGTGTGTACTAAATGATTTTATCAAAATTTCACCATAAGTTTCCAGGCAATGGTAGAACCATTCTGAAGCAACCAAAAAAGGTATAGTCAAAACATAATGTCATAGAGCAATTACTATACCGGGTGCGTCTCAAAAAGTGGCTCACCCCTATAACTTTTTATTTTTTCAGATAAAAAAAAAATGAGATTTGGTATGTTAGTATATGACATAAATTAGGATTGATTGACGTATTCAATTGTTTTTGGTCACTTCCTGTTTCACTGGAAATGACTACAACTTTTGATTTTTAAATGGCACCCTCGGTATTTTTTTACTTTATTCCATAGAAAATGACATTCTGAATAGAATGACATATCATATGTCAACTTTTCACATTCTCGCTTAATAAAAAATCGTATTTTAAAATTCAATTTAGAATGCTATGCTAAAGCACCAATTCTTAATCAAGGAGCCTTGGAAAAATAGATTTTATTGTCTTGTCCTGGCCAGTTAGAAAATGCTCAAATCGTATTTTTAATCATATCTCAATTTTTTCAAATGGAACAAGGGTGGCTCATTAGCATATTTGGAAAAAGCATTTTTTTACGAATAATTTGATACCACATACTTGGTATTTCGAGTTAAATTTTCGTTACGAACCGTAAGTTATAATTTCAAATAAACCATATGCGAAAATGTCAAAAGTTCACATATGATATGTCATTCTATTCAGAGTGTTATTTTCTATTAAAGTAAAAAAATACCGAGGGTGCTATTTAAAAATCAAAAGTTGTAGTCATTTCCGGTGAAACAGAAAGTGATCGAAAACAATTGAATACGTCAATCAATCCTAATTTATGTCATATACTAACATACAAAATCTCGTTTTTTTAACTGAAAAAATAAAAAAGTTATAGGGGTGAGCCACTTTTGAGATGCACCCGGTATGCAGTGACCAAGAATCTCTGAATTCTGAACTAAGTAATATTATAACCGATTTGCTTCAGAATGGTTACTCTGCAAAATCCCTAGACAATACTATATCAATTGGAAAAAATAATTGCAAGAAAAAGAAAAAAATAATTTGCAAGTCCGAAATTTTTTTAGTTTTAATAGTAAGTGCATAACTTTAACTTAGGGTTGCCAATTTTCAAAATAAAAAATAGAGTACGAGAGGGTAAAAAAGAGGAACAAGCGAAACATTTTTTGAAACCTTGCCAAAATGTCTAAAATTTACCAAAAAGTTATGTGAACGGTATGCGACTGATGGTCTTTCTTACTTTTATAAAACTATTTATACTCAACTTTATAAACTTATTATATTGTAGATACAATAATTAATTTACACATTCATAATCCAGGTGTCAAAATACACATATACACTAACTAAAATAACGGACTGAAACTATACGTGGATATTTTATATTGACTAGCAGTATAGTTCGAAAAATCGGATTACCATACCGCTATTTCAATGTAAGCATTTCAAATGTCAAAGTTAATAGTAGTAATTTTCAATTACTAGAAAAAGTTAACAACCTTTTAACTTTTTCCACTAATTATACTTAAAAATTTGCAAGTAATGTCATTTTGGCCTTTGATTATCATCCGTCAAGAGAAATTGCGGTTAGAATAAAAAGTTTATTGTTTTATCAGATAACTATTAGGGGCTTTCTCTGTGGATACAATTGACTACCGCAAGCTATTGCTACAATGTCCTATTAATTTTAATTGTATTTTTTAAACATTGTAAATGATCGTAAACTCTAGAGTATAATTGTAACCACTAATTTATTCCACTAATTTCGAGGTTCTGAATGAAGCTTTGCAACAGTTTTTTGTGTTTCTAAAAAAAATTTGGGATATCCTCTGTCAGAATCATAACGATATCCTACACTCCTTGGACAGACTGTAGTCGAAAGGAGTTCTACACTACTAGAGCTCCATTTTTTCACCGACAAAAAAGTACATTTACAGTTCTTTCTTAGAAAAAAGTGTGCTCATAAATATTCATTACCTACGAGTAAAATACTCAAACGAAAAGATTTATGTTCTAAAAGTTTGAACGCGGATATTGCTATGGCAAATTTGTTTCGGTAATTTCGCGTGTTATATTCCATTTAAAAATGATAATATTGGCGCCAGTTACTTATCGCTGTTGCCAGATGCTGTGAAATTAACCCACTTTTTCTGAAAGTGCCCAATAAATCTTGGCGATAAATTTACCAAGTGGATACTAGTTGGCGGCCGTGAAATTCTTTTCTTAAAACACATTATGAGTTTCCAATTAAAATATAGGTATGAGCATAAAAAAAGCAATAAAACCGCATCAAACAATTTAAAAATTATATAGCTGTGAAAGAAATAATAAAATATTAAGACCTTTATAAGCACATAGCTTTAAATTTAAAGTAAAAAAAAACAAAGTTTTTTATTTCTAAACTAGCTAGTTTGGTTACAGACGCTTGTAATAGCAATCAGTTCTGAATCTTATAGAAGAATTGCTGCTACCTGACCGGCTTTTGAGACAAATGTCGCCACCATATATTTTTGGAAACATCACCATCGAAAACTCCCAACGTTCATCTCGAAACACCCGATTATTGGACAGGGTACACCAGCCGATTGACGTTTATTTTCGGGTTCTTAAAAGTAAATTCAGGGGATTCATCACCACTGACAATACACTGTATACTGTATATATTTTCCTGCGTGAAACCGGGGTAGAGATTTTTGGCATCAATTGACTCTAATTGCTTTCTGTTCTTCCGTCAACAGATGCGGTATCCAATAAGAAACTATTTTTTACAGATAATTCTGCATGTAATTTTTTTTGAACTCAGGTCTTTGAAATGCCCAATGATGCTTTAATTTTACTATATGTGACATGTCGATCTTCTTAGATCAGCTTACGGGCAGCATCGACATTTTCGTGGGTGACTGCCATTGTTGGTGAACCTGTTCTTATAGATGGTCGCTAAGAATAATCCGCCCACGTTTAAATTCTCCATCCAAGTAGTATTTTTGGACACATATTACGTAATGTTTCTAATAATCGTGTCTGTTTCTTGACAAAAAATGGAAACGGTATGCCACAAATAGGAAACATTTTCGAAACCTATATATTCTATATGGTTTTATTACATGTGTTCCCAGTGTGGTGTCACTAGCCGTTTCCTGAAATGCTTCGATACGGAAACAAAACTTTTAGAGGAAATGTTTCGAAACATTTTCTGCAATTTGTGTCCAAGATGTTCCCGTTTTCAACAGCCACTGTTTATAAATGTGAAGAAACAAAATACCAAACTAAGATAGTCTATGTCTGTGTGTGGATTTCAAAATGAAAGCAACCATCAACAATGTTACCCTCCACCAGTATTTTTTTGTCTTAAAATCTTTGTTTTCAGGTTTTCTCGCACAAAGACTGTCTAGTAAAAGCAAATTCATCGTAATTTAATAATGTACTTTTATATTTTTAATGCCCCTTCTACATATCATTATTTGTTGCTACAAAATATTTTTTATTTTTATTTCTATATCATGGTTCTGAAAATAAAAATATATGAATTAATGTAAGTAGAACGCGTTCTTATGAGTTTAAAAGCTCAATAACCGATAAAACGCATATTTTTAGTTAAAAACGCTATCATTAGCCTTTCATTCATTATTTTATAAAATTGACATGGAGTCGGACACAAATCATGTGCATTATATCATATTATTTGTGTCTAAAAAGAGAGAAACTAAACCAAACCAAACACTTTTATTTACTTATTATAAGATAAAAACATGTATTAAAATAAGTCACTGGTGTCAAAAAATGCAAACGCGTAATAGCAAAATCGAGTATATACAGGGTGCTACAAATTCGAGGTACGAGCATTGGTATCTCGGAAACCGTAAGAGATACGAAGATGGTTAAATTGGGACAAAGTTGCGCTTTAGGATGTTCACCAAGATACCATCAAAAAAGTTTTAAAAATGTCAAGGATTGCTGAGTTTTTTTGGAAAAAACGGATTTTTTTGAAAATCAATTTTATTTTTTCCTGGCGTTACTTTTTAGAAAATCAAAAAACTAATGGCTACTTTATTAGGGCTATCTGATAATATTTTTAGATTTTCAAATTAGCTGATAATTTGTGATATACAGAGGACAACTTAATTTTTTTAAATACGGACCTGCATTTTTTATTTCAGATTTTGAAAGAACTCGGTCTCCTGAGTACAATCATATGCCACACTTAACATTTTTTTTTGTTTCGGACATTTGAACACAATTTAATTAAACTAATGTTAAGTCCGGCTCTGTTTTTTTAAATATTTAATCTATTCATCGTTACAATATTGGTAAGCTTTCAAACTTAACAATGACGTGGAGTGAAACATTGAATACGGATAATCAAATGCAATTAAATATTAAAAAATAATATAAAATTATTGGGCATTACTTGACGTCATTTTTAAAAGTGAGAATACATTTCAACATTACAATAAAGAGTACAGAATCCATTCGGAAGTATAAGAAGAAGATATGTTCAAAGAGCTATAAATAAGATTGAACAAAAAATACATTAATTTGTGCATTAGGGACGGTGGTAACCCTTTCGAACATGTAGAGCATTACTAGTTTTAGAAAAACTAGTTTGTAGAAGTTGATTTATTTATAATAACTACAATTAATATTATGCATATTATTAGATCGTACACTGAGATTTCAAAATCACAATAAAAAAAGTTATATTTATTATTATAAATTATATTATTAAATTGCTGACCTGGGCATGATTTGTTTGAATCTGTCAATTGGCTCGATTCAATGTTAATTAACGCTGATCCATATTGTTGCGATGAATATAATCAGATTAAATAATTTAAAAAACCAGAGTGGGACTTGAAATTATTTTAAATAATAATTAAATAGTTTTGTTATTGTTAAGGTACCTAAAACAAAAAAAAGTATCAAGTGTGGCATATCGCTGTACTCAGGAGATCGAGTTCTTTCAAAACTTCAAATAAAAAATGCAGGTCCGTAATTAAAAAAATTAAGTTGGCCTCTGTATCTCAAAATTATCAGCTAATTTGAAAATATAAAAATACTATCAGATAGCCCTAATAAAGTAGCCATAAGAATGTGTAATTAATTTTTTAATTTTCTAAAAAGTAACGCCAGGAAAAAATAAAATTGATTTTCAAAAAAATCCGTTTTTCCAAAAAACTCAGCAATCCTTGAAATTTTTAAAACTTTTTTGATCTCATCTTGGTGAACATCCTAAAGCGCAACTTTGCCCCAATTTAACCATCTTCGTATCTCTTACGGTTTCCGAGATACCAATGCTTGTACCTCGAATTTGTAGCACTCTGTATACAGGATCGCTAAAGTTATCGCTTATGTTAAAAAAAGTTAAATACAAAAGTTATAGGATTTTTAAATATCTATTAGCGGGTAATAAATTTAAGTATACAGGGTCGTTCATAAAGTCGTGGTAAGGTTAAGTTTTTTTTTAAAGTGAACCCCCTGTATATTATTACACATTTCAATTATTCCTTCATTTCTAAGCAAAAATCGAAATATACTCAATGTACCTCAAAGTTTCCGAGTTTTGAAAATATTTACTATATTTTATACTTTTGAAAATATCACTTAAACAATTCGATTTAATTAATTTCGATGTGTTTGGTTTGATTTAATGATGCCATTCTGCCGAAACTGTGATACTGTTGTATTTGGTTTTTAAATTCCTATTAGCTACTAGTAAATTTAAGTATACAGGGCCGGTCATAAAGTTGTGTCACATCATTTTTTTTAAATGAACCCCCCTGTATATTATTGCATATTTCAATAAAAAAAATTCTGCCTTTCCTTCTCCGAAATTCTAACTTCAATTTTACACAATAATCGTAATACACAATGTACATAAGTTGAAGAATTGAAATGTTAAACGAAAATTTTGTAATTTCCAGACTTGCTATACTCCCATTTTATACATCTATAAATGCTAACTTGAGAACTAATGTCTAATATTAATAAGTATCACAGTTTCGGCAAAATGCATCGTTAAATGGAACTGAACATATCGAAATTAATTAAATCAAATTGTTTAAGTGATATTTTTAAAAGTCAATAACTCGGAAACGGTTGGTATGAGGTACATTGTGTCATTTCGATTTTTGCTTGGAATTGAAGGAAGAACCGAAATATGCAATAATATACAGGGGGTTCCATTTAAAAAAAATGAAACTTTTATGTGCCACGACTTTATGATCGACCCTGTATACTTAAATTTATTACCCGCTAATAGATATTTATAAACCCTATAATTTTTATATTTAACTTTTTGCGGTACCTCCTATATTTTACCTAATAATCGACCGTTTCCATACATAAAAGCGACCCTGTATTAAAATAAGTCACTGATGTCAAAAATGCAAACGCGCAATAGCAAAATCGCGTATAAATATGCCGCTCAAAACGAGGGACTCCTTATATTAGTACCCGAACATTATGGAGCTGGGGTAACCTTACTTGAACTAATCGGATCGTCAGTTGCCGTGCCCTGTATACATATTCCGTGCCCAAGGAAATAAACTAATCTCTATCGACATTGCGACATTGACATTAAATAGTTGCACATGTCCGGTGTTGATTGCATGTCAGATATCAGATAAAGGAATGTGGAATTTTAACCTTTCGTGATATTTCTTGCCGTTTGAATGTCGACTCGAGTTTGCTGTTGGTGTCGATTTAACATAATCGCGCCATCTTTCGTATGGGGAAGATCCAGGATATGTCGTTTATTTATTACGTAACATTTATGCATTGCACATTCTCGTGTATGTAGAGCGGGATCTGATAAATTGGCCGAGCATGCTGTGACAATATGCAATAATCCCCAGTGTTAGAGCTGAAAAACAAAATTATCTCTCAATTTGCATACGCGGTGCTACTGAATACACAGTAACCACCTGAAGTTCGAAAGACTTTTTTTTGTCAAAAAGTTATTAACAAGAATAAAGTTAGTTATTACAAAAAGTAAATTAGATAATAGAAGCGTTTTTAGCGTTTTGCGTTTTTTGCGTCTAAAGCGCTTTTTGCGATTTTACCGTTTTAAGCGCTTTTTTCGATTTGTGTCCATTAAAAACACCCAAAAGACGCGGTAGGTCTGCAGTTTCCATCAAGATGTCAATTAGTAAAGTCACAAGCTCGTGGATTCCCGGCCCGTTCAACAATCAATCCTGTGAGAAAGAGATAGGCGAGATCGGCGCCGTTAGCGTTGAAGAGACGAAGATAAAAGATGCTGGGATTGAATTGTGGACGGACCGGGGTATATATTCGGAGACAAACACAATCTACTGCTAGTGCCAGTGGTGTGTGTAAAAATAATTATTATTTGCTATTTATTTTACGAATGTTACTTTATATGTGTATAGTTTTTTTATGTTGTAGTGTTGTGATTAGTACTTGTTATAATTATAATATAATATAATAAATAATTATAATTATATAATAGAATAATAAATATTTCTAGTTGCTAATGCAATTTTAGGACATGGTTTATGAAATATTTTGGAGTGAAACTTCTTTAAGCGCCCTGGGAGTAAAAATTGGAGGCCGTGACATACGACCTAGTGAGACGGCCCTGACACACGAGCTCGTTGTAACGAAACGTGTTAACGGCTTAGAAATACGTAGTGACGAGCCGCGACGTATATTTGTGAGCAGTCCACGTGTTTATCAAAAATATTGATATTTTAATACAAATTTTGTAAAAGTGAATCAAATTATTACGTGTAAAAAAATATTTGTTACACGTAAAAAACTATTTTTATTATTTTACGCGAATAAAACTGTTACACGTAAAACTTGTTTTGTAAAACTTGGAAAATAAGTTCGTCATAATAATTTAATTTTACATATTGTTTTTATTAAAAAACCTTTTGTTACGCAAA